TGTGCACATTTGAATTTTGGAGCAAGAGCCGTGGGCACCACACCCTCTGCCTCCCCCTGCCTGCAGAAAGAAAAACACACACAGGTCACGTTTCCAATGAATCTGGGTACAAGTCATGTATTACTGCAAAACTCTCTAGTTGCTGTTGCTGCTACTTCTACTGATTTTCCACTTCTTTCTGCAGTGTGAGATGGGCAGCAGTTGTCCAGCCAACTTCCCCCTGGCATCTTCTGAACTGCATACAGCATAACTAAATCTGACCATCATTTCTTTCTTTTTCATCACTCTTTTGGGATGCTCTCAGTTTAACTTTCCAGTTGCTTAGGTGGCAATATATAAATATGTATATCACCTTAGCATCTTCTCAGGCACAAAGTAGACATGGCATTAAATGCATCTTTGCATTCACCATGCACTTTTTAAATGATGCAAGTAGCAGCCACCATGGAGAAAGGGTGGGAACAGATAATTCTTGGCATCATTGCACGCGGGTGGCGGGGGTTAACACTTTCCTCCCCTGCTTGTTTTGTTTAGTCGTTTAGTCATGTCCGACTCTTCATGACCCCATGGACCAGAGCATGCCAGGCACTCCTGTCTTCCACTGCCTCCCGCAGTTTGGTCAGACTCATGTTGGTAGCTTCAAGAACACTGTCCAACCATCCCGTCCTCTGTTGTCCCCTTCTCCTTGTGCCCTCAATCTTTCCCAATATCAGGGTTTTTTCCAGGGAGTCTTCTCTTCTCATAAGATGGCCAAAGTATTGGAGCCTCAGCTTCAGGATCTGTCCTTCCAGTGAGCACTCAGGGCTGATTTCCTTAAGAATGGATAGGTTTGATCTCCTTGCAGTCCATGGGACTCTCAAGAGTCTCCTCCAGCACCATAATTCAAAAGCATCAATTCTTCAGCGATCAGCCTTCTTTATGGTCCAAGCTCTCACTTCCATACATCACTACTGGGATTCCGAATAGAATTTGCTTCTCTAAAGCTACTATTTGCTTTAGGAAGAAAGCTCCAATTAGCATCAATGGGACCTTTTTCCCAGGGCAAATAGCACCATCAGCTAAGCTATTGTGCATCAGATCCACAAAAGGGGAGGAAAGCATTAACCCCCCGCCTGCCACAATCCTAGACATGCAAAGAGCCCTGCACTGTACTTTGAAGTCCAAAGTGTCTTCTCACAAAACATCATTGTGATGTCAGGTGGCCAGCCCCACCCACTAATCAAAGGATCAAGACCACTGGCCAGAGGCAGTTTCCCCACCCATTAAGAAGGTCATACTCAGAGTAGAGCCACCAATGTTAATAGGTCTACTCTTGATTATTACTTCATTGGATATCTCCCCATGGTTTAACTTGTGGTTTTATTTTTTAGCATTGTACAATGGCTTCAGCAATTGTTATTTTGGGTTTGTATTTTTATATTGAATGGAAGCTACCTCAGGGGAGTAGCTACCCTAAAAGGAGGCTAAAAAACCCTTTAAAATAAATATTTAAAGTCCTCCCACAGATCCTCTCTGATGTTCCAAGGTGCCCTCTTGGAAGTTCCCCCACACTCAAAAACATGGGGGGATGGTGGCCCCAGAGAGATGGTGGCCCCAGCAGCATCCAAACAATTGAACTCTCTCCCCCTGCAAGTGTATCAAGCATCTCCATTATGTAGCTTCTGGAGTTTTGCTGAAGACACACCTCCTAACCTTGGCCCTTGACAGTTAAGATTTATGTAAGCACACCTTTTTTTGAGATATATTGGTTGCTTTGCTAAATAATTTTATTCAATGTTAACATTGTACGATTATATGGTTGCAACCCACCCGGGAATCTTGTGGTGAAGGGCAGGCATGAAAACTAACAAACAAAAGAACAAAGCTGCCACCATTCAGTCTTCAGCAAGAGGCTCCAGGAACAGAAGCAACTCCAGATAAGAAATGTAAGGCATCAGGAGAAATATCATATTTTTTATCCTTAAAGGATAACGTGTCAGGTTCTGCTTTTAAATCGCACTTCTCAGAAACATCCAAACAACTCCATCAGAGGCTGTCCTTCGTTTGCTTAGTCGTTTCTCATTTCTTCAGGAAGCTGGACCCACATAACTTTCCTTTTCATTCTCCCAATGACCAGGGATCAGCATACTTTTTCAGCAGGGGGCCAGTCCACTGTCCCTCAGACCTTGTGGGGGGCTGGACTATATTTTTTTGAGGGGGGAATGAACGAATTCCTATGCTGCACAAATAACCCAGAGATGCATTTTAAATAAAAGCACACATTCTACTCATGTAAAAACACACTGATTCCCGGACCGACCACGGTCCAGATTTAGAAGGCGATTTGGCCAGATCCAGCCCCCAGGCCTTAGTTTGCCTACCCATGCCCCAATCCAACTCTCTCTCACACACATTTGATCTTCCCTGTAGCCACTGCCTTCTACCCAAGGATTCCTGCTAACCTGATCAAGTAATCTGTGTTTTCACATCTGCACTAGCTGAATTACCAACTCTACGCATCATTCCAGGCTGTGGGAAGTCAAATCCATTTCTTCTCCAGCCCTTAAGACTGCAAAGTCAGCAATCAGGTGGGCTTGCTTTGAATAGCTTTTGGTAAGGTATTCTCCCCCTCCTGTTGGCCCTTTACCTGTGATTTGACAGACTCATATTCTTCTGTCCCACGTGAAACACTCCGGAGAGAAGTGAGGTAGTCAAAGGTAATAACTGCTGTCTGCAAAACAAGTCAGAAACAACAGCATAAGCAAAGTATCCTATGGCTCTTGTTTTACTAAAATGAGTTTGTGGTTGATCCAGAAGTCTGGTCCTTTCTTAAGCCATTGGGCTTCACTGCTCCCACTTCTACCCATCTAGAAATGCATCCTCAGCTCAGAAAGCTACCAGCGGACCCCAAGCACACTGGGTCCTCACCTTCCTCCTAAAACCTTTGGCACTTTGTTTAGAACTCATTTCCAAATTCAGGTTTACCCTAAAACAGGAGTGGCCAGGCTTCAGAATGGTCAGATTGTCTCTGAGCACATTCTCATCCTGGGAATTTGTTTTCACTGAACTCAAAATGACTTTACCAAAAAGTCCCTTCCAGGTTTCAGCCTTTTCTCCATTACAGCAGCTGAAATGAAAATGTCATTTTGTCAGTTGTGAGTCAAAAACCCTTCCTGATCTCCTGCAAGCCATCCAGAGATCTACAAGTAGATCCCTATCTACTTTCTGCCCACCAATACCTCAAAATATATAGGGCAAGTGTTAAAAAAAAATTACAAGAATTATGGACTACCTTTTAGGGAATAATCTCAATAGTACAACCCTTCTGACAAATAGATCAGGGTTTTTCTAATTCAGACATGCAGAACATGAAGTCAGGAACTCAGTGGAAACAATGGTCTGCCCTGGCCTGTCGGATGTTCATCAACAAGGGACTCAACAGTCTGAAGTCCTGACAGAAAGCAGCCTAAAGCTGGTGGCATCATAATCTACTATAGTGACATCATACCTGTTGTCATAGTGATTAAATATTAGGCCTTAGCATGGATACTACTTGGATACCAAGACAACAAATAATGATCCTATCACACACCAAAAGCATAGGTCCAGATGGTTCAGGAGACAGAAAACTGTCTTTTCTGAATTGTCCCCTTTGCTAGATCATTTCACTGCTTCGTCTCTGTAAGGTTATGCAATCTAATTAAGGTTGCTTTTCCACTCTATTCCTGACACAGGTTTTGTGCCTTTAACAACTTTACAATGGGCAGAAGTGCAGCAGGTGATGTTTCTCCTACAGAGCTGCAGAGACAAGGAAAACTGCAGCTGATGTATCTCTGACAGCTTTTGAAGGCACATACTACCATCTCTCAGAAACAGATTTGTAAAAATGTTACACGGGGGGGGGGGGGGGAATTACGAGGCATTACACTTACTTCTGTAAAACAAGAAAATCCTTAATAAAATATTTAAAAAAAACAAAAAACAGAAAGGTGGCAAACGTAAATTAGAGCAGCACCAGACTACTGGGGATCCAATGAGCTGGCGGGGAGGGATCTGATGCAAATCTGAGCCTGTATTTAGAGAGGCGGGTTGTGAGAGAGTGGAAGCAGAAGGGATGGTGTTCACAACGTACCAGTAACATTTGCTTAAGATTGCCCTCCACCTTGAGAACGGTGGCCCTAAACCAATCCATCCAATCATCTCAAGAAGCAAGAATACTCATATCCTATCAGAGTTAGGGAGCCTGTGGCCCTCCAGATGTTGTTGGACTCCAGTTCCCATCAACCCCAGTCAGCATTACCAATGGTCAGGAACGATGGGTGTTGTAGTTTAGAAACATCTGGAAACCCACAGGCTCCCCATCCCTGCTCTATTGCAGGGGGCTGGGTAGGGAATGACAGAAGTGCTCAGTAAATGGGTAACAGCATTCCTTTAATAGAAATCTCTAGATCCCAGGGTACTGATTTTTGTACTTTCGATTAAAATAATGTTGATACCCACCTCCTGCACAATTTCTGACATATTTTAGATCAGCTTTTCCCTAGATTCTTTCTATATTCCTTTTACGAGTTTCCCTTTTTCATCAAATGTCGCAACACAAGTGCTCTAAAATATGGGTTCCTGATGAAAAACGCCCGCTGTAAGCCAGAAATACTCAAATCAGGTTTATTACATGGCGACATATAAGTCCTGTGGATTTCAAGATGACTTTATGCTTTCCCTCACACAAGATGCCAGATTGAAACTTACTGTGGCAAATGCTCTGCCTACTCGAACAACTCCAAAATCGTTGGGATCCAGGTGCTTGTTGCCATACAGGTAAAACCCAGTGGTAGCTGCTGCTGCAGTGGCCAACGATGCGAGTTTTAAAGCCCTTCTGGCCATGGCAGCAAACACTGAGGAGAAATAAAGCAGGAGTCATGACTCGATGGGGCAGATGTGAGATTCTCAAATGAGTTGGCAGAATGAGAATTACAAGACAAATGGAGGGTGCATGGGCCTAGCTATGGAGATTGGGAATCCCAGACATTCCCATTACAATGTCAAATTTTCCAGAAGGAACCAGGTTAAAGACCTTGCATCTCCAGTTAAAGTGATTTCATGTAGCAGATCTCTGCTTGAGAACTTGGAGAGTCACTACAAATCAAAGGAAGCAGTTCTGTGTTTGATGAATCAATGATCTCAGGCTCAGTGAGTACAAGACAACCTCCTCTGTTCACATCTAAGCTAAACTTTACAGCAGTCTTTCTTAACTATAGCAACCACCAAGTAAGTTAGCCAGGATGGTCACAGAATCTTCCATTTTAGGTTTGTACTCAGTGGGTGGGGACCTTCAAAACCATTTTTTTCTTTAACGAATAACATTTTGATTCCCATTGCTTTCCTTTTATAGTAGCTGTTGAGGCCTAGTTCTTTTTGGCAGCAATTGCTTTTAAAGAAATCCACCTTCCTTTTCAGCTCTTTCCCCCACCTCCTTCATTTTATTATTTTTTAAGAACCTGTGCCTGAAAACTCCATCTGCTACCATTGTTTATTCTCACCTGAAGCCATATTGTGCCATTTGTGTCATCACGACTATTGCCATCTCCACTAATTGCAACACCTACCACAGGATGGCGGCTTCAAGGGGGGGTGCAGAGTGGCAGCTGAGCTTTTAAGCAACAAAGACACCTGGTTTTGTGCTAATTTCTCTTTGCAATAAAAATGGAGTTATTAAAAATATATAAGGTGAAAACAACAGTTAGAATAAATTGCTTTGGAAATTTTCCACAAGGCATTGGTGTGCTTCTCGCATGTAAACGAGCGACTATGACATCCCTGGAGGGAATCGTAAATGTATGTATGTTTTTAACACCCCGATTCTCAACAGCAGAAATCCTACTGAAGCTTTGCTATTGCAAAAGATGTGAGAACCAGAGTGCCAGTGTAAGCTCATTTCATTATTAAAACTGTTGGTGTCAATTAGTGACTTTGTCTGTGCGCTAGAAGTTTTCTGCTAGGTGTTTAGGAATGTTCCAGTCCTTGTTTCCACAGTCTCACATATGATGCTATGTAGCACCTGCAGCAAAACACTTTTAGAAAGCAGGTTCAATGTTGTTGAGTCATAAGAACATAAAAAGAGCCTGCTGGATCCTGCCAATGGCCCATTTATTCCAGCATCCTGTTATCACAGTCATCAGCCAGACGACCTTGGAAGGCCTGCAAGCTGGACATGTGCACAACTGCACTCTGCCCACCTGCAACTCCCAGCAACCGGTCTTCAGAGACAAAACGGTGGTGTGTAGCTGTTGACAGCTGTGTCCTCCATGCATTTGTCCAATCCTCTTTTTAAACCATCCACGTTGGTGGTCCTTCAATTTCTGGTAAAGGCAAGGAAAGACAAATAGCAAGGGGCTCCTATAAATCTAGCATAGATGTTTCAATTGTAGTCACAATGATGCAACCTATCTCTACCATTTAAATCATGTAATTGTAGGAAGCGAAAATAACAGAGATCCATCCTGCAACGATATCAGCATGATCAAAATCCTTACCACTTAAATGTGTTCGCTAAGGGCACCCAACAGGCCTCCGCTACAAGTAAGGCATTTAGCACTGCTGTTCCCATGCTGTGGAACACTCTTCCAGCAAAGGTACACAGTTATCCTCACTTTTAATAATAATAAAACTTTATTTATATCCCGCCCTCCCCAGCCGAAGCCGGGCTCAGATCAGCTAACAACAATAAAATAATACAGCATTCTAAAATCAATTCATTATAAAATCAGTTCAAATCAAATTAATGGCAACCATTGGGCTAGAGTTCTGTGAGGATTACCAAAGGAGGGGGTCAGGCTGTGCCTCGGCCAAAGGCCTGGTGGAACAGCTCTGTCTTGCAGGCCCTGCGGAAAGATGTCAAGTCCCGCAGGGCCCTAGTCTCTTGTGACAAAGCGTTCCACCAGATCGGAGCCACAGCCAAAAAAGCCATGGCTCTGGTTGAGGCCAGCCTAACCTCCCTGCGGCCCAGGCCCTCCAAGATGTTTTTGTTTGAAGACCGTAAGGTCCTCCGTGGGACATACCAGGAGAGGCAGTCCCATAGGTATGAGGGTCCTAGGCCGTATAAGGCTTTAAGGGTTAAAACCAGCACCTTAAACCTGATCCTGTACTCCACCGGGTGCCAGTGCAGCTGGTATAGCACTGGGTGAATGTGATCCCGCAGTGAGGACCCCATAAGGAGTCTTGCCGCAGCACTCTGCACCCGCTGGAGTTTCTGGGTCAGTCTCAAGGGCAGCCCCACGTAGAGTGAGTTACAATAATCCAGTCTGGAGGTGACCGTCGCATTGATCACAGTGGCCAGGTCAGGGCAAGAGAGGTAAGCGGTCAACTGCTTAGCTTGGCGGAGATGAAAAAATGCTGCCTTTGTTATAGCTGCAATCTGTGCCTCCATGGAAAGGGAGGTGTCGAAGATTACACCCAAACTCTTAACGGACGGTGCTGGCACTAATTGCGCCCCCGCAAGTGATGGGAGTTGCCCCCCCCCAATCCCATATCGTCCCGACCCAGCCAAAGGACCTGTCTTAGAAGGATTTAACTTCAACTGGCTCCCACGTAACCATCCAGCCACAGCTTCCAAACATCTGATCAGTGTGTCTGGGGCTGAGTCAGGATGGCCATCCATCAACAGATAGAGTTTTGACTTTTAGGGGTCTCTTGAAGCTCTTTCTGTGCTGACTGGCTTTTGCAGCTGTTTACCAGTCACTTTAATTATTATTTGCAATGTTTTTAATGGCGTTTTATGTTTTATTGTTGCACAACACCCTGATATTTTCTGATATGGCTGTATAGAAATACTTTTTTAAGTAAAAACACAAATCTTGAGGAGGAGAATTGGGCCAACTTTTGTTAATAAAAAAGGCCAAAAGTTAGTTTTCAAAAAGGGCATAGAGACATCAACACAGGCTTTCCACATACACTTTTCAACTGGCTGGATGCCCAAGTGGCAAGCCCATCTAAAGGCACGCAAGAAGAACTTTGTGCCTCATTTCATCTAACAAAGGGGTGGCTAACCTGTGGTCCACCAGGTGTTGAATTACAATTCCCATAATCTCTGGCCATTGGCTACGCTATGCTATGAACGTTGGTTAAGAGATATAGTCAACAAAATACATACCTACTCAGAAATAAGTTTCATTGAGTCAGTGGGGCTTACTTCCAGGTAAGTGAGCACAGGACTGCAGCCTAAATGTGTTCATCCTTAAGGAAGATCAACATTTTCCAGTTAAGCAAACAGCGCTCACTAAATTGGCCTCTGCATTTTAAATGTTTGTTTTGCTATTGGGATTGTAGTTCCATTTGTGTTTCTCAAGCTGGTCTCTGACCGTAATAAATTTCATGTTTCATGGCCTCTGCCTTCAGTGCAAAACTTTCTTTTCCCCAAAGATGGGTCTGTGAGATCCTTCCGACGGAGACACGATGGGAGGAGCATGGCCAGCAGTACTTGAAGCTGTTGACAAATCACCCGATCTTGCTTCCCCCACCCTACAAGCAAGGAAATTTCAGGTGGACTGTTGTGGGTGGGGCGAGAGTGGATGGCAGGTGAATGAACGGCCGAGCTCTTACGTAAAGCGAGGCGGGGACTAAATACGGTAGTAAAAAGGGGACACGAAGATCAAGGGGGACTGAGAGCACTTCTGGAAAAACTAAAAGGCCGGACACGGTGCTACTGGGCAAATCGACACACTGAAATGAGCGTTGAAAGAAGCCGGTCCCATAAGTGGGGCTAGGAAGGAATGCAGCGCATAGGTGAAGTGGAAACATTTGATACGGAAGGACCCTAAATTTACTTTCGTGACCGGGCTACGGGGACGTGCGGGGGAGGTCCTATTTCGGCCCCTTCGAACCCCCTGCTGTCTTTTCATTCATTACTCGACGTTCTAGATTCCACAAAGGTTTGTCCCTCCGCCGGAATGGCTCCAAAGGGGACCCTCTGCCCGCCCGTCCCCGTCCCCCTGGTCTGGCTGTCCAGCCACAGCCAACAAGGACAGCGCCGCTCTCCACACTTACCGGCTTTCTGGGCACAGGGACGCTTTTATTCGGCGGAATCCAAGGTTCCTCCCCTCTCTTTCCCACCCCCTGCTTCCCGCACGTAGTAAAGGCTTTCCCCTGCCGGGGATGCTGGGACTTGTAGTTTTCTCGCGGATGCCAAAGCCTCGGGATCTGTAGGGGCGCCTGGGCTCCGAAAAACTACAAGGCCGGAGCCACCGGGCGAGCTCATTGAAAGGGAAGAGGGGGGTGGGTGAAGCGCCGGCGCGTTTTGCTGTCAGCCGGAGAGGCCGTCTTCGCTGAAACCTGTTTGTAGGTCAGCCTTTTTACATGTGTTCACCTGTATCAGCAACAAAGCTGGTAGTTTTGCAGTAGGCAAGCATGTCGTGCGTTGTGAAAGCTAGTGGAGAAAACAGGACAAACCGCTCCTGCTTTCAAGACAAGCCTGGCAAATCTGGAAATATAATTAATGATTTGATACAGTTGATAGTCTGTACTTGTTTTAACTCATGTGTTAACTATTCATTCTACCTATTATATAATTTTGTTTCTCATTTTTAAAGTTTTGTCTCATTGTCATCTCTGTTGCGTATACATATAGAATGAAATAATGATTTAAAAACTATTTTTAAAACCCCATCACCCACTCCTGTTTTAGAAGTACAATTTCCCAATCCTCATGGTCCTCAAGGCAGTTGCCATCCTAAACAATTAATGCATATCGATGTTGCCTAGGTTTGAGGTGGCTTTTGCTGTCTTCTAAAATATCCGGTTGCATAAACTGAAAGCAGTGCCTTAGACTGTGTTGTGTTTACATCAGAGGCCACTTCTGAGTAAACGCATTTAGGATTGTACTGCTACCCGCCTGCCCCACCCCAGGGCCCACCAGTATATTATAGTAATTTGTTAATATACCAGTATAATATTTGGTGGAAGCCAGTCTGATAATTTGCTTGAAGGGTGGGGTAGAAAACCTATAATTAATAGATACATTAAGTGGGTGCAACAGAGTTGTATTTTAATTTGTTGGAAGCTGCCCAGAGTGGCCTGGGTAACCCAGTCAGATGGGCGGCATGTAAAAAAGTTGTTGTTGTTGGTTTGGTGTTCTACGTTAGGGTTTGCACTGATGCATCCCTATTGAGGTTACTCACAATGCAGGGGAATACAGTGGTACCTCGGGTTAAGTACTTAATTCGTTTCGGAGGTCTGTTCTTAACCTGAAACTGTTCTTAACCTGAAGCACCAGTTTAGCTAATGGGGCCTCCTGTTGCCGCCGCGCTGCTGGAGCCCGATTTCTGTTCTTATCCTGAAGCAAAATTCTTAACCTGAAGCACTATTTCTGGGTTAGCGGAGTGTGTAACCTGAAGCGTATGTAACCCAAGGTACCACTGTACAACCAACTGGGTGGCAAAATTATAACCAGATTTGCACTGACGGTATCATATACTGTATTTTTTGCACCATAACACTCACTTTTTTCCTCCTAGAAAGTAAGGGGAAATGTCTGTGCGTGTTATGGAGCGAATACCTGCGGGTGGCAGCGGGGATCTGCTGCAGTCATGAGCAGAGGATCCATGGTTCCCCTTCCTTCCCTCCTCCGTGGTTACAAAGCATGGATCCACATGGATCCTCAGGATTTTTGCATTGGGCTACTCCAAACTCACTGTCAGATCACATGTCTGTGGCCACAGCATGAACCACAAAAATCATATATCCACTATTTCATTTAGAATATTTTTTTTCTTGTTTTCCTCCTCTAAAAACTATGTGCCTGTTATGGTCTGGTGCGTGTTATAGAGCGAAAAATACGGTATGTGTTGTTGGCATCCATCTGTCTCAGGAAACAATGGAAGAGTGCACCCCAGGAGGTGAAAGACAGTTTAGTATTAAAGTATTAATTTATACAAACCTTCACTGGAAATCTTTTTCTACAGATCCCAGCTGCTCACATCTGAATCCTGCCAGGGCCAATAACAAAGACCATAACATAGGTATTCTACTATTCTGCTACATTGGTAACCCTCAGTGAGGCCCTAAGTGAGGTCAGAATGAGACAATGTTTTTGAAATTCCCCTAAGAGGCTGCCAATAGTCGGGGGGAGGGGTCATCGTCAGCCTTATGCTTGTGCTGACCTCTTCAAGGATTGCACTAGGAACAAGGACCCAGATGCGGGTAGGAAGGCCAGAATGGAAGACAGCAGAAACTCCAATGGGTTCTATGTGGAGCTAACTTCAGGCACTAGGCCTCTTAGCAGAAAAACTCTGCATCACAAAGATGTCTGCAAACGTGGCATGAAGGCTGACAACATTAACCCCGCTTTATGTGAATCCTTTGCAGAAGATCACAGTGCCTGAAGACAGACAGGTTGTGTATCCACAACAATGACCAGCAAAGGAATAACCCTGTCAGGAGGCAGTTGGAGGATGGATGGCAGCTAACAGATTGAGGTTGACTCCCTGGTTCTGAATGGGGTAACTGTGCCCCTGAAGGGCCAGGTGTGCAGCCTGGGAGTCATTTTGGACTCACAGCTGTCCATGGAGGCGCAGGTCAATTCTGTGTCCAGGGCAGCTGTTTTCCAACTCCATCTGGTATGCAAGCTGAGACCCTACCTCCCCCCGGACTGTCTCACCAGAGTGGTGCATGCTCTAGTTATCTCCCGCTTGGATTACTGCAATG